TCTCTCTCTCTCTCTCTCTCTCTCTCTCTCTCTCTCTCTCTCTCTCTCTCTCTCTCTCTCTCTGTCTGTCTTTCTCTCTCGCTCTACTTGCCTCTCACCTGTTTTCTCTTTTTCTTCTCTCTCGATCTTCTTACCGCTTACCGGTTACAACTCTGGATGTGTTAATGGCTTCGGCCGACCACTTGGGTTACCAAGCGCGAATCTCGTGTCACTCCGCGCCGGGGACCCTCAGGTTCTTGACCGTTCTCGGGCCGACCGGTCGATCACGAGAAACGCGCGATGGGAGCTCTTAGAGACTGACACAGACGCACGTAGGTATATCATCCGCGACGCGTCTGACTGATTGTCAATAAACACTACGCTACAACTTTTAACCAATTTCTTGCATTTTTCTCATGAAGGCACGTTCTTTAATATAATAATGGCAGAAAACGCGTTTTTGGGTATTTCGCGTATGCAACGCGCTCGATTTATTAATAATAAGAACGATCCATTATGATCAAAGTTCAAAATCTTATAACACAGTATAATCATGGCCGTTGCATCTTTCCGATTGTACAAATGATCATGGCGTGCGAATCCGACAGGAATGCAGCAGCCTAATTGCATTTGACGCATCGCATAGATGTTACCCGCGCGAAGATTACGGATAGAATTTGCACAGAGAGACATCGAGTGCACACCCTGCCACTTGGAGTGTACGCATTTTGACGCGCGGAGCAGAGCTGGCGAAGAAGCGCGCCGCTTTTCGAGATTGTGGCGGAAAGTGCCTCGACAATAAGAGGGGAAACACGACGACGTGGATTCGATCTCATTGTCAGTCCCACGCTCGCCATTTTCGAAACACTCTCCCGGCAATTTCGAAAAACGGCACTTTCCTCCGATTCCGCGGCGCACTCGTCCGCATTCTTCGCGGCCCGCACGTACACACCGAGAAAACGTACGTACTGCACCACGCGGACGGACGGTATCTCGCGCTTCCGCGCAGCAACCGAGTCGAATCGGCGGGAGTGACTTATCCGCGAGGAATTCCAGAAGAATCGACCGAAGGAGGACGTTCAGTTCAGTCACGACGGGACGGACTCTCTCGCATTCCGTATAATTACGTATCGCCGTCGGTCCATAAATAGCGATGCGACGATGGCGAACGGGCCGACAGGCCGCGGCTTTATTGCTCTTCGATCGCGTTCGATCGCGCGCGGTGCATCGTCGTTATGGGCAGATAGAAACGCGGCGCCTCGAGGAGCGCGTCTCTCTCTCTCTCTCTCTCTCTCTCTCTCTCTCTCTCTTTCTCTCATGGTGTGCTGATAAAGTGTACGCTTCGACGTAGTTGCACGCGTGCGCGATTTGCGCTTCTCGCGACTCCTCGATAATTTGGCCCGCGAGAAAACGGAAATCGTACCTCTTCCTATTCATCTCGATTTCGCGATCGGCGAAGCACACCAAAGCAGATCTTGTGAGCCAACGCAGAAGGCGAAATCGGTCACAAGAAGTCTACATTTTTTTTAGAGGAACATTCGACGTATTCTCTACACTGAGAGAAAAATGTATGATATTTGGAACTATAATGGTATAGTAAAAAGATTATAGTTAGAAATATCTTTTTTATAGTAAATGTTACCATAATGTTTGTAATATTTACAATATAAGCATAGTATAACTGACTCATGTAAAACTTTTACCAAGAATTATAATTATTTGAAATAAAAAACATAGTAAGGTAGCAAATATTAAATGGTAAGAGAAATATTTTATATAGAACTATTTTATATAGTCAATACAATTGGAATATTTGGAAAATATTACATGTAACTATATTCCTAAAGCGTGTTTTACTATACATATAGAATAATAAGATGGTGACTATAAATGTGTGTTCATTCTGCTATATCTTCGTTAGATGAACTATAAATATATGTTTGAGGCCAAAATGAACTATAAAATATAGTGAGATTATAGTTATTCCAACTATTTTTTTCTCTCAGTGTAGCCTGTAGACCAGCATTTGACTATTCTCACACTGCCTTCTTCCCTAAACGCAATACAAGGGATCTATTCTCTACAGCTGCACCGAATTGTATGCCGTTTGCATTTCAAATGAAACGGAGACACATTTGACACTTGGTGCTCTCTAAATTTCTTGGAGTGAAGTTTCACTCAAACGAGTGGAAAGTAACAGTATCTTTACTCGAAGCGATAGTGAAAATATCAGCACTCGAAATAGCAAGAGTGAATGTCTCACTCAAGATTCACCTGAGATTGAACCTTCAATTAAATTCAAATCAAGCTTAAATTCCTGCTCCACATAAGCAAACGCTGCAATCGAGAGCGAATATATCCCTGTAACGGTGCAGGAACGTCAGATTCGCTCTTGAATTTCGAGTGAAAATATTCACTCGAGCCATTCAGAGCGGAGAATTCATCCTGTATGAATGTAAAATCGCTCAAATTCGAGTGACTCTATGCTCACTCCGCTCCGAACGAAGACACTTTTCTGCACACTCTGATTACGCGATCGCCTCTCTCCCACGCACTTAATCGCACGCTTAATCACGCCGCGATTTGAATTCGCCTCAGCTCTTTATGCAACCGGTGACTCGCTGTGAGAAACCGATGAGAAACCGAGGGGGCGAAATATATCGGCGATGATGCGGTAACAGTCGAGGACTCCCGTCGCCGTCGCCTGTATGCAACGACCGGCTCTCTTTTCGTATAAGGCAGGAGAGGCCTCCGGGTACAGTCCTCCCACGCTCGTCCGTCTGCCTCGCAGTGGAACGATTCGCCGGCGATTCCGCCGTCCCGTCGTCCTCCTGAACTATTTCGTTCCTCTCGACGTGGTGCGCGTAGGCGCACCTCCGCCGTCGTCGACATCCCGCCGCGGCGGTCCCACCAGCGTGCATCCATCGCACATTTCCGAGACACGTTGCGTTATCCTTGACGTCATCCGTGACGTCATAATCGTCCAATCAGCTGTGACGACCGAGCGGAGATCGAAGAGGAGGAGGTGCCCCCCGATCCGGTGCGTTCTCGCGTCGGATCCGTTTATGCGTTTTCCTCCTCCCTCTCTCTTTCTCTCTCTCGGTCTTTTTTTTTTTCTTTTTTACACGCACGATCAGTCAATTATTCTCCCGACGTTGTTTATCCGCTCGCACGTTATTATTGCTCATCTCGGCGGGATGTAAACAATTTCTTGCACGCTCATCGCGGAGAACGCCCGTGCATATCGCGCGTTGTCCTCGCCTTCCCCCTGCCCCCCTTTGTTTTTTACGCTTGAAAACAAAACCTTGAACTTTGACCCGCTCACACGGCGATATATTATTTATACGCGATATAATCGCTAATTGCGATATGAAAGCCACGAGCTTTTCGGCAAGAAACGTCCGGATCAAATTCCAACGCGCGAGAAAGAGACGGCGTCGTCGCCGTCGCCATCGCGGATCACGTCGCAAAGGTCGCACACGCCGAGAGGCGCGCAGTGTTTTATTATTGCATCGATGCATGCGCGCATCTACGCGTTCATAGCGCACATTCTCGAGCTCGTGACGGACGGCCTGACCTAAAATCGCGCGTCGCCGCGAGCCCGCGGCTCGCTCGCTCGCTCGCGGTTCAACGCGGACACACGTCGCGAGAAGAAGCAGGCCAGGCCTGTTCCCTTACCTCATTGATGTGCTTGTACGTCTTGATGAGGTCGACGCTGAGTTTCCTGAGAGGCGCCGTCGCTGGATCGCGAAACCTGTGGGGTATCCTGGCCTGCATGGCGTGAATGTCCGAGGGGGTCTCCTGCGAAACCCCGCCGGCCGCCCCGCCGCCGGTGGCACCACCCCCGCCGCATACCGCGGGGGGCATGGGTTCCTCGGCCACCAAACGTCCGTAAAGGGGCGCACCGCCGGTCCCTGGCCTCCCGCTCACTGAAAGCATCACAGAGAGACAGCGGATCAATGCAAGAGCGATGAGAGAGTGGCACTTGCGGTGTGGCCCGCGATCTATTCCCCATGCTCGATCCGCGATTGAGACATCGCGTTATGTCAAACCTTCCCAATTGGGCTTTGCTCGTCATTTTCTTACGCGCGACCTTTGACCTACCGCGAGTTGGGAGAAGGGTTGTTCTCCGCAGACGCGCTATATCAAAGTCCAGATGTAAATACAATCGTCTCTCTCTCTGTCTCTCTCTCTCTCTTTCTCTTCCTACCGCGAACGAGGATGTACGTGTGATTTTATATATAATTACACACACACGCTGCGCTCCTCGTCCAATATTGGTTTTTCAAATCTGCGCGTAATTACAGAGAGCGAGAATTTAATGGCTCAGCCGTACGCGCGCCGTGCGAGAAATGGATCAACGCGTCGCTCCGCAAGTTTAGTCAATGATCAATATTTGTGTTTACCGTTCGATGTGTTGACGTTTATCTGTTAAGTTTATCATTAGGTAATTAGATTCGTGTATTAATTAGGGAAACGCGCCGGGCGACCGAGTCATTTCGATCGACGGCCGGGATTTAAGATTCGCCGTTAATACGAAAATACGGTATTCGTGGAGAGATTCGAGCGGGAGTGAAGGATCTTCGTTCGAAATTCTTTCACGCTGAGAACGTTAGACGTTTACTGTCCAAATATTTCGTTGGCCTTTTTACCGTCGACGTGAAAGAGAGAAAGAAAGAGAGAGAGAGAGAGAGAGAGAGAGAGAGAGAGAGAGAGAGAGAGAGAGCAGCGACGCGTTTGGCGCAATTAGCATTAGAAAAATTCCGCGAGCGCGAATGAATACGCGCGAATAAAAGCGCTACTGTGTGGAATCGGTTTTGTCGAAATTACTGACGAGTAATCCGGTAATAATACCGGGAACACATTACACGCGCCGGCATGCGCGTTTTGACTCTTTCGTATGCGAGAAAAGGAGAGAGAGAGAGAAGCTATCTCCATCTGCAGGGAGACACAAAAAGTAACCGATTACCGATCAGAAGACACCTTGGAAAAATCTAATCTCGCGTCAAGAAGTTTGTTCACTTAAATCAAAATGCTAAAAATTATGCAAAAACTTAACGTAACATTTGCCGCAGTAAAACATATTTGCAGTTAAAGTGCGATTTGTCTACACCATTCATGACGAACTTAATACTGCATATCTCGCAATTTTGCATACGTATAACCTTGTGGTAAAAGCAATACAGATGATGTACCATTATTTCAGTGTAACTTTGTAAAAAGCGATACCATACAAATAAAAAATCTGCCGTTGTGAATGTTACATGCTAGGGAATGCGGCGTGGAGAAGAATACACGGAAAAAACAGTATGGTTGGTTCACACATAAATCTGGTTGTGCCAACCAGATTCAATATTGAATCAACCAGATTTATGTGTGGGCCAACCATACTGTTTTTTTCGTGTGGTGTGCACTACACCGTTTCCGCGTGATGGTCGATTGTAGGTCAGAAAACTGCCGTTTTATGCTTTGAGTAGCGTCACGCTGAGTGAAACGTGGCAAGAACAAGAGAGGGAATATGATGAAATTTGTTTCAAATTAACATTCGTCGTGCGCGCTTCGATAGCGAAGTAGATATATTAAAAGGTGCGATTTTGTTTGATAAATAGTGAATCCATGAGTAGCTCCCTTGATACACCGTGCCACTGAAAACACGCCCCTTTGCTACCCTGAAAACACATACCTGGTGAATAAGCTTCTTAAGCGTCCTCATAATCACCCCCGTTTTCGATCAACGCTCGGATATACATTTTAACGGCGTCTTCGCGACGCGTTCTCCCCGTTTCTGCTGCGTAAAGCAGACAATACAGCGCCGCGTTCGATTCTCATATCGGGGGAGAAGAGAGGAAGAGAGAAGGAGGGGAAGAGAAAGAGAGAAAGAGAGGGAGGAAGGAAGGGTGCCTCAATTGGCACTGTTCCGCGAGGTTCGTGCGCACACCCTTCCGCGAGTAATAGGAGAGGATTGCGACGATCAAAGGAGGGTTGCGATGATTGCTACGTATATGCGGAAAAGGGCAGACGGTGATTGCGGCGACTCCTTCCGTGAAAAGTGGCGGCCCGACGAATCGACGATCACGACGACGGTCGGCGGAAAATTGCGATACGTTCGGGGAAGCATGCGTGCGTCGATTGTTTCTATAACAATCCACGCGCGGGATAGTTTCACCTCGCCGGGCCCTTCCTCGTAGAGCGCGCGCAGGTGAATCGGGAACAAAGTTTTCGCGTTAACCGATTTGTTCCCGGAAACGTGTCGCTCACGAAAGCACCCGCCACATCAAAGAGACTCGATTCTCAGCTCGGACTCTGGGAAAAAGATTGATAAGCGGCCAGATCAGGATTCCATTATGCCCTCCTCCCATCCCCCCCTCGTAATCGCTCTTCCGCCGATTGATCCGTGGAAATGGATCGGACAGGAAGCCTGCGAGGAACGACGCAACGGATGTACACGCGATGGAACACGCGCTCCACTCCGGAAAACGATTTCCAAATATTTAATTGCGAACACCCTGAGCGCGGGCCCGAGTGTATTTTCATCGGCCATTGAGGCGAGAGCTCCTTAAGGCGCTCTCAGCCGCCTCTTCGGACCGCGAGGACGAAAGTTCTCTCGTGACGACGGGGATGAGAACACGGACGCGAAAGCGTCGATAATTAACAATTTCTGTTCACGAGGACAGACTCTGCCATCTCGAGGTGCACGTGGTTTTTCGACTCGACCGACGAGACGACGGCGACTCACGCGTGAGACCGAAATCTCTCGCGGAAGTTGAACAAAGAGCAAGAGGGAGAGAGAGAGAACGCACGTGTGTGTATGTGTGTGTACTCGCGCGGAAGTGCCGATAATTAACAACTACCTCGGAGGGATAGAGCATGCTCCGCGCGCCGAAGAATCGTGGTGCGGGGCGGAGGTGGTCGTTAATTTTGACATATGATTCTCTCTCTCTCTCTCTCTCTCTCTTCGTCCGTGCCGCTTCGGCACTCGCTGAAACATTACTGTCATTTTAACGACCTTGTTAGGTGGTGCAAACCAGCTTAACGGCGACCGCTTGATACTACGCGAAACAACTCCCTTCTTCTCCTCCTCTACCTTGGACCACCTTGGTCTCGTTCTCCGGGTCTTTTAGCACGATTGCCACGCCATAAGCGCCGAATTTCCTCGGGGCTTCGTCCTCCCCGATTTCTCCTCTGAGTGAACATTTTCCACGTCGGAGGCAACGCGGAACGATCGGCGACAGATTCGCAAAGAGAGGTGGGCGCACCTCACGGCCATTCGTTCACCGTTCGATTCATTAAGTAAGAGCAATCGCGCGCCGCTAGAGCCACATCGCGACTCATTTGTCGTATTTAGTTAATGAGATGACGCGGAAAGAGTGCATGACTGGCTCGCACGAATGAATGTGTGATGGATCGAGCATGTGACCGAGACAACGAATGAATGGGCGAGAGTACGTACGTATGTATACGAACGAACAAACGAACGAACGAACGAACGAACGAATGAATGAATAAGCAACGGTGGGAATGAGCGAAGCTTATTGCTTCCTCTCTCTCTCTCTCTCTCTTTCTCTCTGTTCCGCGCGATACGCTCTACTGAATATTTTCGCACGAGTTTATCCGTATCTAAGCAAATGGCCGGGAAAGAGATACATACTCGGGAGGAACAAAGAGCAAGGCGACCGCAGAGAGGAGGAAGGGAAGAAAGAAGGAGGGTTCTTCGCCGATAGGGAACGGGAGAAAGAGACATGGAAACGACGTACAACAGGGGTAACGAGAAAATCACGACTAGGTCGGGTCAAATTTGCGGCCTGTCTATCCCCTTTGACCCGTTCCCTCCCACCAGAGAGCGTCCCTCGCTTCGCCCCCTCCCCCTTCCCCACCTCCTCCCTCTCTCACCCACCCCCTCCGGCCCCGTACTCATCCCACCCTCCCGTTTTTTACGAGCCACTGCGTATCGGAAAGCGGAGCTGCTACTCCCGCGTCCCGACTCGCCGTAGCTCCGTTTGAAATGTAGGCCAGGGCGCGGTTGAATGAAAAAAATATCATTCATTAACACGCGCGCGCGGGCCAGCGGTTCTCCGCGTCGGCACACTCGCGTTGCGAGCCAGCGCGGATTCGCGTGCACATGCATCGGCGCCGTCGGCGTCCGTTTACTGGTGCCGGTTGGCGGTGGTGGCGATGGTGGAGGTTTGTGGAGGCGGTGAGGGCGACCCAGTGACGCATCGCAGCGAGACGCCTCATTTGCGTGCTGCGTCTCGCGCGGCGCGGCCAAGAGCCCGCCCGAGCCGGCCAGGAATCGATTGACTGCACGGCGCGCTCTGTCTCTCTCTCTCTCTCTCTCTCTCTCTCTCTCTCTCTCTCTCTCTCTCTCTCTCTCTCTC